ACAAGCTTCTAGGGATTTCGAAATTCACTAAGAAAGATGAAATACATACCTCTTGTTGTTATATCTTAATAACAACTTAAATCTTGAATCTTCTTGTCTTTGAAAGCAAGTACCACAAGTGTAGTACCTATAATGGTTCACAAGCACCAAGAGCAAATGGAGAGGCAAGAGAGAAAGAGGAGAGGTATGAAATTCGGCTCTAGGAACCCTAGATCAAGGCATGGACGAATTTCATATGCCAAAGGGTGTTTATATAGGTGTAAGGATTAGGGATTCAATCCTTATCCTTATCTGGTTTCTTGCCCACCAAGCAGCCCAAATGATAACCCTAGAAACCTTATCATGGACGAATTCTAAGGCCTTATCCCCTTGAATTCATCCACCCTATCCTATAGGGCATCCATTGCCCCTACTTTGCAACTATTACATAATTACAGTTCAGCCCCCTAGTTTAGTTAACTTCTTTTAATCACAGAATTAATTCTTGACCAATGTTAACTAAATAAATATGATTTCTCCTTTAATATATTATTCATATAATATATTAATAAACCATAATAACGTATTTCTCTATTATTTCTCCAGTTAAGTTGCTTTGGTGAAGGCAACCCAAAAGGACCATGCACAACCGGGTCAAGTACTCACCAAATATGGTTACGGGCTTAGACACTAATCCAACAATAAATAGGTCTAAAATATAAATTAAAAGTAAAAAATTATTTTGGATAAATAATCTAAACGAAAGTCTTAGTAATCGAAAACACGAACTCATCCATATAAAGAACGTCTAAATCTAACTTCGTATGAGAAAGTTATAATTTTTATATGGAGTTGAAATCATTCGATTGTTAGGAAAGACAAGCAAAACGAGAGTTGAAGATCTCTTCAATACCTATCCATCGATATAAAGACAGTCGAGAACAAATATCGTATGAGAAAGTTATAATTTTTATATGGAGTTAAACAGTCTAAGTCTGTTAAAAAACTTAGCTTTAAAAATAAAGTGATAATTAGCCGATGTAGTCTAAACGAAAGCTATAGTACTCAGTAATAGCTACATGTGGATATAAAGAACATCGAAAATGGAGCTCGTATGAAAATTATATGAATTTTTAAAGAACTTAATGTTATCGCACACGCTGACAAGAGGCATGACGCGCCTTTGATACACCACCAGAAACTCGCCATACGTCACCACTTAGATGACGTCACGTCATCTTTTTCCGACCATTTGCGCTGCATGCCCTCAAATTTCCCCTATATAAATAAGCGAAGTTCAACTCATTCTTCGACCCATTCCTTCATATTCTCTCTAGAATTCTTCATACCTCTCGTACCCTTTACTCCCAAATTCCTGAATGCTTTAGCGAGGCCCTGGCGTTAGATTGCCGGAGAAAAAGAAGTTCTCGAGTTAGAGTTATGTCCGCGTAATTACCAGTTCTCGCTAGAAAACTCTGTAAGTTTGGCTACAACTATTTTAATTCAAATGTAACTTATATTTATAATCATAATCATTATTATGAACCTATGAATAAGATTTATTAGTGATTCCAAGTCATTATACTAATTGATCTAGTTACAGGAGTGATCTCTATACTGGATTTAGTGCATGTGTTTAGTTCAAATTTATGCAAATACAACCCCCCCCCCCTTTTTTGTGACTTTAATACCTTAGAAAAATAGGCATAAACATTTGTCTTGTGTCTCCGTGGATCGACTCTGCTTACCTTGTATTATCTTTTAGTGCAAAATAATAATGTTTTTGGACTTCATTTTGTACCCTATTATTTGTTGGGTTTGACACGCTAACACGAACAAATCAAACCAAACGGAATGCAGAAATAAATTTGAAAAACATACCAGACAATCATAGAAAATGGACCGAATACAAGTCTTATACCATGTGAACTAATAAGGATCTACATAGAACTAATAATAATATAAACGACTAAGGTTATATTATTGATGGAAAATTGTTTATACAAAGAAAGGTAAATAAGAGTATAAATAGAAAATTATCTAAAATTAACCTGGTTAAAGGGTTAAACATAAAATCCAATACAAAAAAACCCAAATAACTTATTATCTTAATAAGTATAATGAATTAATAGGGTAAGTATAATGAATTAATAGGGTAACATAGTTTTCAATATGTATCACGTTTAGTCCTCATTGTGTATTTATGTGTGTGTGCTCGTAAAATACGCCTTTAACTTGTTGTTTTGTACGCATTTAGTCCTTATGACCAACTACTTTGGGCTAAGTTATCAGTTTATACACATTTAGTCTTTAATGCTTTTTTGTTGTAAAATAACTCCTTGTTGTTTTTGTACACATTCAGTCCTTATTACCGATTTTCTTAGGTTTTGCTCAAATGACATCCTACGTGGGACAATTATTAACAAAGTGTTCTCATACGTGGCTTGTCCTTCGCTTATGTCAGTAACGTAATTCACACATCGGTCAAATAATGTTGGTACCCTAGTTTTCTCTAAGAATAAGATATCTTCAACTTCAATTTCATATATCTCCATAGCAGACAAACAAATTCTTTATGATTGATTTATCCCAACTCGAATTTGCACTTCCAAGACAAGATAACACCATGAAAAAAGTTCTTCCCTAATTCCTTGGTTTGTCGATCTTGATCATTTTTCAACAAATATGATTTTTGTTTATTTCACCCAACCCCAAATTTTGAAGATGAGCTTGCAGATGTTAAAGACGAGGTTTCCAATCTCAACCACCTTGAATCACAAAATACTAAAACCCTAGAACGTTTAAGGTTTTGTCGCGATGATTAAGGAGACGCGTCATGAACTTCTATTAATTTATTAATCACTAATTAATTAACAAATTGGATCCTGATAAACTCTCATGTTAATAATTGCTTAAATTTGTCATTACGTGTAATCCAAAGCGACTCCGATATTAAATGTAATATTACCAATTGTTTATGAACATGAACATTATTTCCAACAATTGAAATCATTATGAATAATTTATTTTTTCTCACCCGATGTAATGTAGTCGGTATTGATATTAATTGAAGTTTGCATTTTCATTAAATGTAGTTAATATTATACTATAATAGTTACTAATATCAGAGGTACAAATCTATTGCCAAAACAAAGACAAGAAACATATGATTTCACTTCCCAAAGAAATCATGTATGAGAACGATTCATTAATGATTGTCTCACATATAATATCATGTGAGTAAAATTTATAGAAACTTATCATAAAAACTAAATGTATATAAAAACAACAAAATTTTATTTTGTAAAGAAAAGATTAAAGATTAAATATGTACAAACTAAGAACTTAACCTACAGTAGTCTGTCATAAGAACCGAGTGTGTACAAAAACAATACGTTCAAGGGTTTATAGGAAAAATAATAAAAATCAAACGGGTACATAACAAAAAAAAATATATTATGTTAAAATCATTTTTCCATATACCATCTTACAAGACGTATACCAACAGTCTTGGGTATATTAAAAAAAAGTTTTATATATTCAAATGTATTCTAATTTATAACAAAAAAAAAAAAAAAAAAACTTTATTTCATATTTTTGTGAGTAGAAAGTTGAACATGAATCGTAAAATTACACATCAGCAGGGTGAATTTCAAAAAAGTCGTAGACATAGAGCCCTGAGGAGACTTTATTGGACCCCACATCTTGTCGGCTTGTCGTTTGGATTCCTTGTCCGTGTCCTCTCCTTCAATTTCTCTTCTCTCGGCGATATTTCCTTTTACCAAACTTTATTGCTTCTATTTCTGTTTTCTGCCCTCAACCCTTTACTTTAAAGAAATGTCACAATCACCCCTAAAGCTTTCTCTCGTTTATTGTTTTGCGCAATACCACCCTCAATTTTTGTTGAAGCAACCCTTTATCTCTTTCTTTACGGAACTTTATTGTGTCTATGCTTATGAATGGTCAAGAAAAATAGAATATCTTTGCTTGAAGAAATAAAAAGGATATGTATCACATACTAAAATTGGATAAAATATTCAAACAAATATTTAGTTGAAATGTTTTATTCAACTTCAAACAGCATTCAGATTTTCAAACTATATATCTAATTATAAAATATTCTAGTTTTGTGGCTAACTTTTTTTGGTGTACTAGTCAAATAAAAGAATATAAAGAATGTCAAAACCTTTTGATGTTGTGTATTTTATTTTCAAGAATGACTAAACTGTTTCAAGATACTTTTAAACAAGATTTAGAGATTGAATCAAGACTTCGACTCACGTTTTGGAATCAATATTCCTTCTAGATCACTTTGACATCATTTTTTCACAGAAATATCTTGAATTTACAAATAAACGTGTTGTTTCTTTTTTGCTTTATATAATTATTATATATATTCAATAAAGACACGACTTAATCTGTTAAGCTATATATAAATGCTTTTTATTAATATAAATAAAAGTAAAAAAAACATTTTCAACTAATATAAATAAAATTAAAAAAAAGTAAGGGAAATGACATTTCTCTTATTATTATTATTATTTTTTTTTATATATTTTACAAATTTATCATCATCTAAACTTTCCAGTGATTCAAAGAAGTCTCAGTTTGTCAAATGGAGCATCTTTTTTGAACAGTATTTAGTAAGGAAAAGAATAGGGCCTGAAACAAATTTTATAAAACGAGTCATTTAATCAAAGAAAAGGAGTTATTCCAAAAGCTGTTTTAACTTGGAATTTACCCAAAAAAAAGTGTTTTTTAGATTCTTGTTTTTCTTTCTTTCTTTGTTGGTGCATAGGATTCTATGCTTTTAATGAAGATAATCGTATTAAATATATGAAGGAAAACACTAACCGAAAAAGAAAAAACAGAAGGGCTTTTGCTTTTAAGAAAGCAACTTTCACAGAAAGAAATACAAGTAGCAAAGTCAGCTGTATTGTGTTGTACTCAAATCATATTTTTTTGTGCAGAAATAGTTGTACTTTTGATGAGAGAAAGCCTGCAACATTTCAGAAATAATTATGGGTCGTCAAGAAGGTTTCTTGTATATTGGTGGGGGCAGAGTGTTTAATTACAAATGGAAACAGAGATGACTGTGTTTGTTTTTGTAATTGTGTGGGGACAAAGTTAGGAGAAATCGATGATGAATTGTGAGACGCACAAAGCCGACATGTGGGTCCCACTCTCCACCATCACCACCCTCCTCCTCCTCCTCCTCCACCTCCATTGTCTTCTTTTGTATCACCAAACTCACCTCCCCTGTCTTTATTCTCTTTATCCCAACAAAGTTTAAATCTTTCCTTAGTGATTTCAAATATCTCTTGTCAAATGGATGTTACCCTTGGCTTGTTAGGTAATTCTCCGGCCGTTGATGATGGTGGTGGAGGTGGAGTGCCGTCTGGTGGATCAACCACCGCTAGGTCTATCTTGACAGTATCGAAGGAAGATAACAAGAACAACATGGTAACCATGTCTGTTGAGGTTACTTCATCGTACCCTGTTGTTGATGAGAATTTAGATGATCTTGAATTGGGACTCGGGTTGAGTATCGGAATCGGTGGTGGTTTGAAGTCAAAAGCGGTGGTAGCAGGGCCTTGTTGGAATCAGTATGCAAGAATCTTGACAGCGAAAGATTTCCCTTCTTTGGTTTCGAAACCTAACTCTTCTTCTTCGTCTTCTTCAGTAAATATCCCAAATTCATCCACTTCTGGTTCCAAAAGAACCGCGGCAGATTCTGTTTCTCCTCCTAATGGTAACAGGTATACAGTTCTTCTACTATATTTCTCTTTCTTCTGTTAGAAATTAGGGTTCTTATCTTCAATTCGAACGATATACGAAAAAGCATGTACCTTAGGTGTCCTTGTTCTTTGTTTTGGTCAAAATTGATCACAAGTTTTGGATTTATTTTGGTTTACTGATTTCTGTTTTTAAATTTCCGTAACTGAAGCGTCGTTGGGTGGCCGCCGGTAAGCAGAGCTCACCGGATCCCTAGTTTGGCGAACAACTGCAAATCACAAACCGAAGAACTTAACTCAATACCCGAACAAAACAAAAACAAGAACACAACGAACAGAATCAAGGATTATTCAACTGAAAGAAACGGGATTTCCTACAAGAAATATCGTTCTGTAAAGGTGAACATGGATGGAACCCTGATCGGAAGGAAAGTCGATCTCAATGCTCACAACTCATACGAGGCCTTGGCTCAGACGTTAGAAGAAATGTTCTGGGGAAGACGTAAGTTGGTATTTTTGTTTTTGATCTTGATTAAGTTCCTGAACTGCATAATTTGGTGTTTATATTTTTCAATTACTGATGTAGTAATCATCTTGTTTAGGGTCGAGCACAAAAGCAGGAGGATCTTCAAGATTATTGGACGGAACATCTGAATTTGTTCTAACTTATGAAGACAAAGATGGAGACTGTATGCTTGTCGGAGATGTTCCTTGGCAGTAGGGTTTCTCAACTTCCATTTCTTAAAAATCTGATTGGATAAATGTGTCGTATCCGATGTGATGTGACATCGGATATTGGTACACCAATCAAATATCGCGTTGCATTTGCAACGCGATATGTCAGAACGATCTAACATGTTTATCTGATTTCAGGATGTTTTTAAGTTCCGTTAAGAGGCTTAGGATCATGAAAAATTCCGATTGTAGTGAGCTTTCAAGAAATCAACACGAGACACATAACTGATGCAGTATAATGATATGCATATAAACTTTTATATTTTTGATTAGATGTAGTTGAACCAAGTTCTTGTTGGTTGAAGGGTGAAAGGAGAGTGATGGTTTGGTTCTACGGGTTGTTTAAATCCAAAGTGTCTCGGGTGAGACCGGTTTTGTCCGGGAGGTTTGTATAAGTGTCTTGTTCTTGGTGCAAGCATATTTTAACAAAGCATACACAATGCACACATCACTGATAATTTGAGTTCTATGATATTGTAATTATGGAATTTACTACATATGAAATTAGGGTTTTGGGGATTTTGTGTAATCTTGGTTGGATTTTTCTTCCATGATCAGCTCTCAGAGTTCAAGATCTGTATGGTTTCTTGTTTATAAATTTTCCATAATCCTCTACAAAAGACCTACGGGGCAACTCCTTATGTGGGTCAAAATCACGACGGGTCTTGTTGAGTTGAAATTGTAAAAACCCACTTTAACATCGATAAAGAAGTTTGAGTATATCATGATCACTTGTTACATATGACACGAGAAAATATGTTGTTCCATATTCCATGTTTGGGTGTGTGTAGGACAAAATGATGTTAACGGAATAAGATTACAATTTGTTAAAAATAAGAAATTTTTTTGTTCGATCATAAAAGGTGGAATAAAGAGGGACTGAGACTCACTTTCAATCTTTTGTTTGTGTAGAAAGATATGAGTAGGGGCTTCATCCTCATTATCAAATAATTGGTCTAGAAAGTGTGTCTTGTCATTTCTCGTGTAACAAACATATTTCATAAGTTTTCTAATTTTTAATGTTGATTAAGATGTTATATCTAGTTGATAACTTTGAATTGCTTCGGTTTTAAAAATAGTATCATAGAAATAGCCATTTTTTGTAATGAGGTGAGGATTCAAGCATCTCTTGAACTATTGATTTTGAGTACGTAGCGTCGTAGCCCTTGCGAAACAGCGAGTGTTTTAAGTGGGTGCGGTGTGGAAATTACAAATGAACGAAAATCACTTGGAAATAAAAGCTACATGTTTAAGAACCCCCAACTAGAATCTTGTTCTTCAAAGAAATAATATCTAAATCTTTTACAAAAGTTATCAATACTAAACTCAATTCAAACTCAATAATTAATTCAAACACGGAACTAAGTCACTAACTCCAATTTATAATACTAAACTCTAAAAGACTCTTAAACTTATCAGAAAACAATAATTATAAAAAGCAAGCAAATAAAATAAATGGATATAGACGAAACTAATCTTTATAAATGTAATTAACAAAAATGGCCAAATTTATCTTACTTTCTAAATAGAGCCACTTTGCTCGGAACATCTTGTTCCCAACTAGTTATATTTGGTCCAAAGTGATAGTAAGATGGATGGCAAGTAACAAAAATACATTTTGGAATTTGACATGGGAGAAAGAAAGTTATATTTCAGATTGTCATTTTACATTTCAGATTAAATAAAATACTTTTCAAATGCACAATCCCTAATATTTTAAAATATACCCTTTGTTTCCGTAAATACTTTTATTATGAATACACGTAGCCAATTTTAGTCAAAATTTTCAACAACTAAAAATGAGTTCATATTCACGAAAAAACTTTGCCAACCTCCATCTTTACTATAATAATCTTCAAAGAACCAATTTAGAAACTATTAACCATATCAAAAGAGGTGTGAACGACCATTTTAACATCCCTCTTTATTACCATATTCTTCAAAGAACCAATTCGGAAACTACAAATCATATCAAAAGAGATTTGAATGACCATTTTAACCTCCCTCTTTACTACCATAATCTTCAAAGAACCAATTCGGAAACTATGAACCTTAGAAAACAAAAGATGTGAACGGTCATTTTAACCTCCCTCTTTACTACCATAATCGTCAGAGAACCAATTCGAAAACAATTAACCATATCAAAAGAGATATGAATGACCATTTTAAGTTTTTCTTCGTTGCCCTTGGCAATGTATTCCATATCGGCGCAACACGATCTTATAAGTGAGTATATATATTGGAGTTCCCCTTCTCTCCACAAGGGCTCTTTTGGAGAGACGATATTGGGCTCCACATATATTTACATGGTATCAGAGTCGGCGTCATGCACCCATGTGGTTCAACACATCCCTATTTACCCTTATCGAGCCTCCGACTACGAGGGGGAGTGTTAGTGTATCCTACATCGGTACAACACGATCTTATAAGTGATTATTGTTAGGTGTATTTTGTGCATCTTTTTGTACACATTTTAGTCTCATTTATGCATCTATTTAACATAGTTGTTATTCATTTGTCTTGAAATTTCATCCAATTCATACTAGTCTCAAGAACAACATTATTTGCTAGTCTCAAGAACAAAATTATTTGCAAGCTTTCATGTTCTTTTCAGGTAAACCAGAGGTTAGAACGTGCTTTGGGAGGTGCCGGGAAGCATTGGTGAAGATTTCGGGATGATCAAGCGAAGAAAGGAAAAGTTGGAAAAATCAAGTTTGGATTCGGAGTTAGAGGAATACACGGGTCGTGTTCGATTTGCACTGAAAAATGAACACGAGTCGTGTTTGACCTAGAAGAAGCTGTTGACCATGCTGAACACGACCCTTGTCAGTTTAGCCTGTTTTAACACGGGTTGTGTTGACCATGTTGAACACGACCCGTGTCAGTTTAACATATTTTGACACGGGCAGTGTTCGTCCCAAAAACTGCATTTTGACAGTTTTTCCTATTTTTCATATTACGGGATTAGGGTCATTTTTAAACACACACGTCATAACAGAGCACTACTGGTGAGGGGATTTCGAAATTTTTTTCAAGGGTTTGATCATTTGTCATTTGAAAACATTATTTATCTTATTTGTAAGTTGTAATTGCATACTATTTCCATCTTGTAACTTGTGATCTTGTTCTAGCCATGTGTGGCTAGAACCCTAGTTTCTCCAACTTCATGTCTTGACTTCTTAGTTGTGATTTCAATAATATGACCTGATGTTTGCTTTTAATTTCTATCTAGTGATATTGATTTTGCTTTAATCGAATGTTTGATTCTAATTGTGATTCTTATTAGCCATTTGAATTAGGGTTAGGTCATTCAAGTTATCTATTTTGCAAAATCCGTAATTGTTTTGTGAATTGGCTAAGTAACAAGAACTAAACTGATTTTCATTGAATGAATTCAGTGTAAATCTTATTCACACATTCTTACACTCCTGAGCTTGTGAGGAGTAGTGGGTGTTGTTGGGAACATTCACATAAAGCTTAATGCAATCTTTTAATCTAATTCTCAGAGCTTGTTTAGATTAGATTAGTAAGGTTAGGGTTAATCAAAGAGCTTGTTTTGGTTAATTAATCTGATGAATGGGAAGTGTTAGAGCTTGTTAACGCTTTCAAGTACCAACTTAGATAGAATTGAGCAAGTATCTAGTCATCTTTGAATCGCATTGCTAAGTTATCATACATAGAGTTGGAGTCCTTACAATGTTTGAATTTAATTCACTTATTTAGTCGATTACTTGTGTCTTTAATTATTTGTTATAATCATTGCATTCAAATCCCCCCCCCCCCCTTCTTTACTGTTGGTGACCAAAGTGCCTTGCACAAAGAGGTATAGACTGATTGTCCCGTATCTTTGTGGATGGATCCTACTTACCTTGTACTACCTTTAGTGCAATATAATAGTGTTCTTTTGGACTATATCGTACCCCTTTATTTGTTGGGCTTGACACGCCTAACAACTATATATGTTGGAGTTCCCCTTATCTCCATAATGACTCTTTTGGAGAGACAATCTTGGGTTCCACATATATTTACATCCTTAAGATGTGTGGTAATATACTTTTGTAATATATCACTTTTTTGCTTGCAATAACAGTTCCATTAATATGATTAATGGAAAAAGAATTTGTAGATTTAGGCATATATAAAATGTTTTAATCATAACAATTTTTATTCACTTTAAAAATGAGTTCATATGATGAAGAATATTGTTATATTTGTTCTAATGAACCATTTCCTGATGCCGGCCTAAAAGTTAATCATGATGAACCATTACGAGCTAAGATACCTAATTTATATATTTTGAAGTGATGACAAATGATATAGAAGACAACCGAAAGGACTTAGAAAATAGTTGAATACTTAATGAAAGTGTAACCACTCTGGCTCATAGGTGAAAGAAAAGATGAAATGGGTAAAGGGACCATGCACTCACTTGATAAGGTGGTGACTCGGCACTCGGACAACACTTCGTTATTGTTAAAACAATTTCCCTCGGAAAAAACCTAGTATCAATACTACTAGGGTTTAGTCTAACGTTAACCGCGACTAACTAATAGTCCAGCTATTATTACTATTATATAAGCGTTAAACAATACTTATATAACCCATAATAATAGCCCAAGTACTTATGATAAGTTCTCAATAACATTACTATATTGAAACATAAGCTATACAAAAGATAGGATAGGCATAACTCACTTACAGCGGGTTTTCTCGAAAACCAGGCTCTACCAGAGCAGATTTTCTGAGCTGAAGGCTCTTCTCTTCGTAGCCGCCAGGCGCTCCAGGAGCCTCGGGGCTTCCTTCAAGTGCTAGGGGGTTTACCTAGGCTTTGGGGGGGGGGGGTTAGGAACCTTTAGAGAGAGAGTGTAGAGAGAGAAGGTTAAAGAGGAGAGGTGTGAGAAATGAGAGAATCTGAAACCTCTATTTATAGGGCCAAATCCCAATGGACTCGCCGAGTCGGTGCCACTTGTCAGCTTTCTGGTGGCAAAACGTGTGTGACCTACATTGTGCCACGTCACTCCTTTTGCAGCAACACCCTACCGGCTTCTAAACCCCATAAATTTCACATACAAGCTCCGTTCTCGACATTCTTTATATCCACACGTATGTAAAAACAAGATCTACAACTTTCATTTAGACTCTGTTGGCTAATTCTTGACAAATCTTAAATTTAAAAGTAGGAGGAAATTATACTATTAAATATCCGTGTAAAATTTATAACTTCTACATACAGACTCTGTTTTCATCTGTATTTTTACTATTGAGTTCCTATTAATGAGATCTTCAACTCTCATTTAGGTCGCGTAGTCCAAAAACCACTCGAACTAAAATTCGAGTTTCGGGTCGTGCACTGTTATGCTAAATCTTAGAAAAATCATAACTTCCTCATACGAAGTCAGCTTTGGGAGTTCTTTTTATGGACGCTCTCAGTTTAACATATTCTACGACTTTTGTTTAGATTACTAAGGCTAAAAAGTTCTCTATCGTAAATTCACTATTTACGTCTCTCTGTGCCGTG